ATTCTCACTATATTTATATACTATAGCATGTATATTTTAAGAAAATATTTATAAGTAGTTTGTAACTAATGACACTCTATCCTCAATCTATAGTTTATTCAATCTTTTCCTTTCTGTATTTAATTTGTTTATCATTTGTTGCTATTGTAATAATGGTGGCCTGTCCATACAAGTGCTATTCTCATTATCAAATTTCCATCTTAAAATAGATTCTCATATATAGTGTCACTTAATCTTTAGATATAAAATTTGCATAGCTTTTCTCACATAGTGTGAGAATGCAGCAGAAAAGGTTACACTATTGACATTCCTATTTTCAGTTAATAAGACTATTTTGTCACATGTATTAGTTTTCTAATGCTAATTTGGAGCCTTCAAACAACACTTTTTTTTAACTATTATGATTTATTGAGGTCAGAAATCCAGAGTCAGTTTTTCTGGGATAAAATTAAAGGATGAGCAGGCTACTTCCTTATGGAAATTCTGCAGGAGAATCTTTCCCCACTTTACCTGCATGACGAAGGCCACCTGCATTCTTTGGCCATGGCCTTCTTCTCACATCACTCCAACATCTTATTTCCACCTTCACATCTCCTGCTGCTCTTCTGTAGACAAATCTCTAAATTTCTAAAGATATTTGTAATTACATTTAGGATCTGCCTGGGTAATACAAAGTAAATTTGCCATCTCAGAAAATTTAACTGCAACATCCCTTTTGCCTGATGACATTTATAAGTTCCCAGTGTTAGATATAAATCCTAACAGTATATCCAACACATTTATCACATATCTTTGGAGAACATTTTTCACTCTACCATACTACATCATTGCTAATATGATCTGCTGCCCATTTTCCTTTGTTTTGGACTGATTCAGTGGGTGGGATATAAAACACCACTAACAAGTGAATTTGCCTTTTACTGTTTTCAACATTTAAATTTCCTCCTTTGTGACTTGTCTGCACACCTGTACATCTATCGGAATCTTAATATCATGTTTATCAATTCAAGCATGCTTTTTTGTATACCAAAGAATATTAATTTTTGCAATTAATAAGAAATTAATATTTGCAGTTAATAAGAAAGACTATCTTCCATATGTATTAGTTTTCTAATACTAATTTGGAGCCTTAACACATTTTTTTTTTACTTTTATGATTTATTGAGGTCAGAAATGCAGAAACAGTTTTTCTGGGATAAAGTAAAAGGATGAGCAAATATTGCAAATATTTTTATCCCAGTTGATTGGTTTGCATTATTAAAATGTTTGTGTTTTCAGCAGCTATTATCTTTGTTATTTTTTGTAATTTGTTTTTTAATTTATATACATTTTTCTATTTGAAGGTTGTAGTTTTATGAATTGTGGCAAGTGCATGGAGTAAGTAGAACTAGTCTCTCTCTTTTGCATTTTTTATTTTATAAAGAAACAAATTTATAATCAAATACTGAGAATAACAATAGTTATTACACTGTATTATTATCTTCAAATTACTCTCTCCAAACATAAACCAAAAACACTCTTAAAAGAAACAAATAACATAAACTTTTTTCTTTCATTGAGTTTATTGGTATATTTTAGGTATACAGTACAGTTATATTCATCATTGGGATCTTGTACCTTTACATGACAGAACTTGGTTCTCATTTTTTCCCCTTACCCCTGCCCTCTCTTCACCCCCTCCTCCCTTCCCTATTTACAAATACTTTATTTCCATTTTTTATTTTCTCTTTTCCCTTATTTCTTTTCCCCTACCCTTTCCACTTCCCCTACAGCTTTAGCCCTTTTCTTCCTATTTCACATTGTTAATTATCTCATTAGGATCTAATGTACAATTATAGTTTATTCACACCAGAGAAACTATTTGGTATTTACACGTGTGACTTATTTATTTCACTTAAGATCATATCCTCAATGTGCATCCATTTTCCTATGAATGACTCTAATTCCTCATTCTTTATGGCTGAGTAGTATTCCATTTTATAAAAAAACCACATCTTTATCCAGTCTCCAACTGATGGGCAAATGAGCTGTTTCCAAGTTTTAGCAATTACAAGCTATGCCGCTGTAAACATGGGTGCTCATGTATCACTGTGATATGATTCTTACCCAGCAGAGGGATGGCTGGGTCAAATAGAACCTCTAGTCCCAGGCTTTGAGGTGTCTCCATATTGATTTCCATAGTGGTTGCACTAGTCTGCACTCCCACCAACAGTGGAGAAGGATTTCTTTCTGCCCACAACCCTGCAAACATTTGTTATTGGTTGATATCTTCATAGCAGCCATTCTTTGTGGGGTGAGGTGGAATTTCAGCATTGTTTTCATTTGCATCTCTCAAATGACCTGTCACATGGAACATTTTTTCATATATTTATTTGCTGCTTTTACTTCTTTGTCTGATAAATGTCTGTTCATTTCAGATGCCCATTTTTCAATTGGGTCTTTATTTGCAGGGGGGCTGATTTTGTTTTTTTCTTCTTTATATATTCTAGATAATAGTCCTTTGTCTGAGAAGCCACTGGTAAAACTTTTTTCCCACATTGTAGGCTGTCTTTTAAGTTCTGTTGATGGTTTCTTTTACAGTGCAGAAGCATTTTAATAAGATGAGCTCCCAGTTGTAGATTCTTTCCACTAGTTCCTGTGCTACTGAGGATTTTTTTCATAAAGTCTTTTCCTATGCCAATGTCTTCAAGAGTTCTGCCTAACTTATCTTCTAACAAATTTAGTGACTATTTTTTAATAGCCCTTGCTCCGGAGTAGGAAGAATCAACATAGTGAAAATGGAAAAAAGAATCAATGGAAAAAAGAATCCAAAAATTCATTTGGAACCATAAGAGACCTAGAATAGCAAAAGCCATCCTAGGCAAAACAGACATGGCAGCGGGTATAACAATTCCCAATTTGAAACTATATTGCAAAGCCAGTGTGATAAAAACAGCATGGTACTGACAAAGAAACAGACCTGAGGATCAGTGGAATAGAGTGGAAAGATACAGAAACAACTCCAGATGTACTCAGCTACCTCATCTTTGACAAAGGAGCCAATCATCCTCAGTGGAGGAAAGATGGCCTCTTTAATAAATGGTGTTAAAAAAAAAACTGGATTTCAACCTGACAAAAATTAAAACTAGACCCTTATCTTTCACCATGCACTGGACTAAAATTCAAGTGGATTAAAGACAAACTTTTTCTTTGTAATGAAGGTAAACTATTAGTATCAGTGAAAGAAATTAGTGCATATATTGTAATATTTTTAAACAATGGAATATGTAATTTGGAGAAGTATTTGAACTTCTTCCTGTTTCCTATTTATCTCTCTTCTATTTTGGTCTTTTCACTCTTTTTTGCTCTTTGTTCTCTTTCTATTTTGCTCATCATCATATATATATATATATAGTGTTCCTCATATAAAGTAAACTATACAATATTTGAGCTTATGTGCCTGACTTATTTCACTGAACATTATGCTTTAAAGTGTATCCATTTACCTAGGAATGCCTCAAGTACATCTTTCTTTATAGCAGCATATAAATATGTGTATAAATACCATATTTTCTTTATCCATTCATCTGTTGATGGAATTACACTGTTTCCAAGATCTTGCTATTATAAACTATGCTGCTATAAACATGGGTTTGCATGTATCCCTGTAATATGATGATTTTAACTCTTTAGGGAAGATATCAAGGAGGTGGGTAGCTGGATCAAATGGAAATTCTACTTTCAGTTTTTTGAGAATTCTCTATGCTGATTTCCACAGAGGTTTAACTAGTTTACATTCCTACCAATAACATAGTATAGTTCCTTTTTCCCCACATCCTTGTCAGCATTTGTTAAGATTCGATTTTTTGATGATAGTCATTCTTTTTGGTGTAAGATGGTATTTCAATGTAGTTTTAATTTGTATTTCTCTTCTGCAGCAATGATGAGCACTTTTTAATCTATTTATTGGCCATCTGTACTTCTTCTGAAAAGTGTCTATGCATTTCAGTTGCCCATTTTTTGATGGGGTCTTTTACTTTGGGGAAGCTATTTTTTTAAGCTCTTTATATATTCTTGATGTTAGTCTTCTGTCCATAAAATACCTGGCTGCAAATTTTCCCATTCTGTAGATTATCTCTTCACTTTGTTGGTTGCTTCCTTTGCCATACAGAAGCTTTTTAATTTGATGTGATCCCATTTGTTAAGTCTCAGTATTATTTCTTGTACCACTGAGGTTCTGCTCAGAAAGTCCTTGCCTACACCTATGTCTTCAAGAATTTTTCATATTTTATCCTCAAGCAGATTGTCCCTGTTTTAACATTTAAAATTTTCATCCATTTTTACTTTAGTTTAGTACATCATGAAATATATGGGTGTATACTCAGTCTTATGCGTGTGGATATTCAATTTTCCCAGAACCATTTATTAGAGGCCTATCTTGTCTCCAGTGTCTGTTTTTTTTACCCCTTTGTCAAATATATATGCCTGTGGTTGTTTCTGCTTCCTTGGTTCTATTCCACTGATCCATGTGCCTGTGTTTGTGCCATTACAATCCTGTTTTAATCACTGTAGCTTTCTAGTACAACTTCAAGTCTGAGATTGAGATGCAACTTGCTTTGCTTTTGTTAGCCATAATTGTATTTGGTATTCTGGGTCTCTTCTGAGTCCAGATAAATTTTAGGATTGTCTTCTCTAGCTCCATGAGAAATAACATTAGCATTCTGATTGGGATTGCATTAAATCTATGTATTACTTTCAGAAATATAGCCAGTTTGATTTTGCTGGTTCTGCCTATCCAGTAACAGGAATATTGTTTCATTTTCTGATGTCCTCTGATTTCCTTTTCAGTCTGATGTAATTTTCATTGTAGAGGCCTTTCACTTCCTTAGGTTAATATTTAAATACTTAAATTCTGTGCTATTGTGAATGGTATTGCTTTCCTAATTGATTTTTCAGTGTGTTCATTACTAGTGTATAGGAATGCTATCAATTTTTGTCTGTTTATTTTGTATCTTGCTTCACTGCTGACTTTGATTATCAATTCTAAGGTCTTTTGTGGAGAGTTTTTGGATGGATCCTGTAAGTAAAGAAAAACATAACATTGGCCTTCTATATGGAGAAGGAAAAAAGTAGTATTAATATTGCAACATTATATCATGATTGGTAATGAAGTCAAGCATGCATGCCTGTAATCTCAGCAATGGGAAGGTTGAGGCAGGAGGATCCTGTGAGTTCAAGATCAGCCTGTGCTACACAGTGAGTACCAGGTTAGCATGAACTACATAGTGGGACCTATCTCAAAACAAACAAATAAACAAAGATTGATAGTGAATCCTCAACACAAATGAAGCCAGAAATGGTCATATTTTACAACAAAATGAAAGGCAGAGTAGATATTGATGAGTTGTGCAACAACTATGATGTCATTTGAAACATAAAGTGTTGGCCAATGGTTGTGTTTTACTCTATCCTAAACGTGTCAGGCATAAATAGTTTTATGGTTTACAAAGAAAATAACAAGAACAAAATATCATACAGAAATTTTCTTAGAGGATTGTGAATGGAACTGTTAAATGACCAATTACCCAAAGGAAAAATAGTATGTATCTGCCTAAAGAACTTCTCAAAAGAATTCTAGAGCACACCAGTGAACAGACAGGTGAAACACCACAAGAACCTCTTAATAAAACAGGAAGACCAGCAAAATGTCAAGTATTCCCTACCAAAGAACACAAGAAAACAAAACACATGCTATTGATGTAAGCAATACTTGTGTATAGAACACGCTGTTCTGATGTGTGAAAACTGTGTGATAATTGAAAGGTTATTTTGTGGCAGAGTTTTATTTGCATTTTCATTGTAGTTCACATAGGAATTTATTTCTGCTGTTATTTTTAGAGTTAGTAAGCAAAAAGTTGATGTACTATATGCTGTCTATTCTAAACACTCATTACATATTTATTAAATATTAAATATGTAATTCATTAAATATTACATATTTAACTGATATTTATTTTCCTGATAAGTGAATGTTTCATATTACAATAGGAAGCTCTTGACAAAAGAGGAAAATAAGAGAGATGACAAGAATGACCTGCCAAACAGGAAAAGAAAGCTAAGCACTTGTCTGTCAGTGTAAGCCAGACTTGTTTATGGAACATGCTGTTCTCATGTGTGAAGACTGCCTTAGGTGTGATAATTGAAACAAAGATTATTTCTGTGGTAGAGTTTCACTTTTATTTTCATTATAGTTCACATAGGAATTTATTTCTGCTGTTATTTTTTAGATTTTTTTGTAAACAGGTAAACAGTTGATGTTGAAAATGTTTATTCTAAACCGTCATTACATAGTAACAATGTAATATTTTATTTTCCCGTTAAGTACACATTTTAATATAATAAAACTCATAAAATTTAAAGTAATAATCATCAATAGAAATACTTCTAAAAATAAATATAGGTATTACACACCACCATAATAAACTTTTCAAGAATTTGCCATGATGCTCCCAGGGCTGTGTCCATTTGTGCAAAGGTTTGCTTAAAATCTGAAATTTCTTTGTTGATTTTTTAATTTAGTTGATAGGTCTAATTATGATAATGAGGTATTGAGATCCTCCATTATAATTGCATTGATGTTTACCTGACCTTTTATGTCCATTAGAGTTTGTTTTATGAAATTGGGTGCACCATGGCTTGGTGCACATATGTTTTTAATGTTATCACTCCCTATTCAGTAGTTGCATTAACCAATAAAATGTCTTCTTAGGCCCTTTTGATCACCTTTGGCTTGAAATCCACTTTGTCTGAAAATAGGATAGCTACTCCTTCTTGTTTTCAGGTTAGTGATGCATGAAATATTGTTTTCCATCTTTTGATTTTGACATCTATGAATGTCTTTTGGTGTTAAATGCGTTTCTTGTATACAACATACTTTTGTGTTTTGTTTCTTGATCCATTCTGCTAATCTGTGTCTTTTGATTGACAAGTTAAATCCATTTATATTGATAGTTGTAACTGATATGCACTGACATATTTCTGTCATTGTATTAATTTCCTGCTTTTGTTTTGCTCTTTTCCTTCTATTTAATTGCTAGCCCTACTGATGCATTCATTTTATTAGGCCTTTTGGCATTGTTAGCTTCATTATCATATTCTAGGAAATTCTTGAGAAGCTTTGTTTTGGTAGTCATGAATTTCTTTAGGTTTTCTTTTTTATGGAAGTATCTTACTTCATCAATTTTGAAATATAATTTTGCAAGGCATAATAGTCTGGGCTGGAAGTTGTTTTCTTAAGAGTTTGATCAATTTTTCATGTTTCCTGTTTTCAGGGTATCACTCTTATTAATTGATCTTTGATCATAGCCCTGTCCTCTAGGTATGACACTCTGTCTTCACACTGATTTCTTCTTTATCCAGATTTCAATCATGTTTTTAATCTCCAGGATTTCTCTTTGGAACTTTCTTATGAACTCCTACTCTTTTCTTTGCTAGACATTCATGTTTTGCATCTCTTTCTTTTGCTCCACTATTTATTAGTGTCTTCTCTAGACTCACTCATTTGTTTCATTACAATCATTATGCGATAAGCTATATCTTGTTTAAATTTGCCAAGCACCTTATAGAATTGTTAGTGATTCCCTTTCAGTCCTATCTGCTGTGTAGCATATGAATTCCTCCTTCAACACCCCTGTATCAGTTTGGGGAGAGTTGGAAGTTTTTGGAGACATTTTGTTGCCTTGTCTTTCTATGTTTCTGGTTTTTGTCTGTTTGTTTGTTGTGCTAGGGTTTGCAAGTTCTTTGGCCCAGTGCCTCATTCTTCAGGAGCAAGCACTGCATTATTTATGACTCCCTTAGCAAATCCAAGTATTGGCACAGAAAGAAAACCAACTGCTGGCAACTACTGTGTTACCTTGTCTACGGTAGGAAATGCAATGACAAAAATGGCATCAAATGTCAATTGGATACTGACAAGCCCTAGGAACCACTTATGTTTACCAAAACAAAAAGCATTCTTTGAAGTGAAGATAATTAAGTACCCCTAATTCAGCTAGGGGCACTATACTACCCCTATATTAATTCAGAGCACTGATTTCTGCTGGATGTTGGGAGAAGTACCAGAGCTCAAACATACCACTAGACTAAATGCCTTCTTTTTCAGGACTTCCCCCCTCTGATAATTACTGCTCTGAATCTGGCCTCTCACAACAGAATACAGACCCTGTGATCTTCCCAGTCTGAGCCCAGATGTCCCAGGGAATCCCAGATTTCTGTTTAGCTCTCACCCTCTCTAAGCCTATTTCCCAAGGCTGTCTCTCACCTAATCTTTGTAGAAGGGTATGAATTGAGTCCTGAAGCAAAACTCTCCTTCTGGGTATTGGTCTCTTCTTTGATCAGGTCAGTTTGTTGGTTGTCAACTCTGTTATCCTGTCCTGTAGAGAACTCATGGATTGGAGGGAGAGCACATGGTTCCGAGGTCCTCCTGGCACTGGCAAGGGGCCTAGTAGGTGATGGCATCATCTGGGGGCAGGGTGCACACTTCCTGGATCCTCTTGGCACCTGCTCCTTATTCTGCCTCTTGATTGTAGCAGTTTATACTCTTCCAAACTATGTTGATTTTGTTTAATTATAGTGAGGTAGGAGCAAGAAAAGTTACAGACATAAAATTTTAATGTTATCTAATAAAACTGGTTACTTTGTTTTATTATTTCTTTCAACTCTTTTAATCTTATCAAGAATTTCCCATCTAATATTATTTCATGCTTTTATGGTCTTTTTAATATTATGTTTGGGCCTTTAATCCATTAAAATTAATTTTGGTGTACAGTAAGATGAGACTCTAAATTGATTTTTTTCCAAATTGCTGAAGTATTGTCGCAGTACCATTTATTGAATAATCCATTTCTTTCATACTGTTCTATGATTCCTCCCCAGAGAAACATTTAAAGGTATAATTTCAAAGGTAAATAGCTATTCTTGTTTTTTAAATACTGAATTTTCTCATTCTAATTTTTTAAATTTATTAATTTAAAAAGTTTTTGTTGTTAAATTTTTAACATAACCTGGATTCCCATGCCAAAAATAAGTTAAAAGCATTTGGTTCTTTCAAAGTCATTACTTTTCTCTCAGCTTTATGGGGGAACTAAGTGAAAAGTAAAAAGTTCAGCCAAACAACTAGTAGTTATCATAGGATTTCCTGTATACTTTAATATATGTATGCTTTACTGAGTTACTGATAAAGATTTAACTGCCAGCAGAAATAAGAAGTCACTAATAGGAAGCAAAGTGAATGTACCATTCCACTCATCCACTCATAAATCAAGCCTACTAGTGGCTACCCATGGGATAACTTCTGTGTAAAATTTTTTAATTGGAGACAGGTTATATGTAGGTACACATTTGTGTGCATTTATGTGTATGTTGTTTGCATAAACCTTTGCTCCTCAAAATGTAGTCTTCCAACCAGCAGGATCAGCTTCAGTACAGAACCCATTAGAAATAACAACCTCACACCCCATCCCAACTTACTGAACAGGAATGTGCATTTTAACAAGATGCTGGTGTGATTTGTGTGCACACTAAAGTCTAAGAAGCATTGGTTTAAGCAAGTCTTTACTGCCTAACTTGTCTAGAGCTTCCATTTTGATATTCTATGCAAAGCAAGCTCTTTTACTCAGAGCAAGGGTATAGAGACTCATCCAGATAACTCCATTCAAAGGAACAAAGAAACATCAAGGCAGCTCCAAGACAGAGTTGTTTGGTGTCCGCACTGAGTATGAGAAGTCCTTTGGTTTTCACTTGGACTGTCATCTGAGCCACTCTGATATGATTCCATATTAGGGATAAAGAAGTGAGGGCTCTCAGGTACCTGGGGAGGAGGGCAAAAGCTGTTCCCATAGTTCAACACCAAGGGCTTCTTTTAGTCCTGGACTCTTTCTCTCTCTGTATCAGCTTTCAGGGGTCATTTCAAACACAATGACAGTGGTCACTTATAGAACATCTGTCAAGTTGAAAGTGCCATGGTAGGATACCTGGTCCTACCCTTGAAGAACTATCTTCTTAGAAGATAAACAACAC